AGGTTGCCTAATGTAAGGGGGGCTAATCATGAAAGGCGAAGAGGTGGTACGTTTGCGCCTACGAGCAGGCAACCGAGCCGATATATCTGTAAGTATAGGTTGAAAGGAGATCCTAACATGGCGACGTAACAGGAATGCAGCGCGAGCGATACCTCCTGTCCCCGAGCAAGGAACAAACAACAACCATCCTACATGGAAAAGGGCTCTACAGCTCCTGCAAGCAGGACATGGTAGAGCCTAGGATGGGTGGCAACCGGGACGTGAAGATCCTCCATCGTAAGAAAAGGAGCCGCGGAGCCATACAAATGGTACCATTGGCTCCACGGAGGGACTGGGGATCAGTGATGGGCAAAACTCTAGGCTTCGAATAAATTTGAAGTTTGCTGATATGTTTGTCTCGTTTCCTCTTTCAAAAATTTGCCAAAGAAGGAAACGAGACACACATATCGGCAAACTTCAGATTTATTCGAAGTCTAGGGTTTTGCCCATCTTTGCTGGGGACCCTCCAAACCGACGTGAATAACCTTCCGCAAGGAAAAGGGGGATTCAGAGAGATGAACCCAAGGGCGGGGTGGTGAATCAGAAGGGGATAACAGAATAAAAAGAACGATACCAACAAAGTAGGCTCGCCAAAGTAAGAAGCTGCTGCGGAGAAGATGGACTGAAAAGGTCTAAGACTGGGATCCAATCGCAGAAATGGTAATTATAAAACATTTTTGTCCTCCACTATTTTTTTAAATCATTCATCGTAGGAACTTGGTAGTCGTATAAATATACAATAACTTAAGTTGACGAGCTATGTTCGGTGCTTGCATACATGTTGCTGATACGTTGAGCTGAAACGCTGTTGCAGAATCCTTTCCATCCAACGATAGAATCCGCGAGCGATTCAAAATGGCGTCGATAAGGCGCGCGATGAGAATAACGCACGACCCGCCATCTAGAGTCCGTTGCTTCCGGTATCGAGCAGCAGTAGAATGGCAGTTGCGCGCAAAAGTCTGTTTATTTACGTGCTGTCGATGATTAATTGATTGCGAAGTTGGTTCCACGAGCGATATCTGCTGAGTGTGCCTCGCAATAACGGGCTCGAAATGGTGCACGCGTGACATACACCGAAAACAAGAACGATACCAAATGGGAAAGATACCGTGAATGTCGTCGTCAATGTATTCAGGCTGTCGTCGTTCTAACCTATTTATCGAAACATTGTACCTTGCGTTCTGGAACTTTCCGACGCGGTGTCAACATTTGTTTGCCAACAGTGGTTCGGCATGATGCCATGTTCCCGCAAACGCTGAGCACAGAACCGTGCAAAATCGTGGGCATGGCCGACGAAGTGCTGCCGGCGAGTTTGGAGAAGCTCGAAATTGATCGTCTTTCCTCGAGTTGTCCTCAGTAAGCATTTCACAGCTGAACGTTCTCGCGTTTCCTGACATCGATCATTCAAAGCGCCTGCTCCTTCGCCAAACATCCCTTCCAATGCCCTCGAACGTTCTGAACTCTACGACGTATGTATACACGTTCGATTGTATCGGATCGTGGCTGTTTTGCGACTCAACCCCCTTTTCACGCGCGGTCAAGGTCTTCGATTAACGTTACCTCGTTTCGCGCAAACTACGTGACCATCTCTGTTTACATTGCGCGTGTTTTCGTTTTATTAACGATGCAAGCGCTCGTCAACACGCGTTACAATGACTGTCGTTTCTTCTTCTCGATGGTGCGAGTCGACAACACGAATAACTCTCAACCGTAAGGAAATCGTGTTGTTTAGATATTCGAGAAACAATTTCGTCGAAAGTAGAAATTCTCGCTGCAAATACGACGTATATTAATCCAAGTGGGAAAGGTCGTGTCCGAAAGAACAATACCAATGTTTCGATCATGGAGTTTTGACTTTGTTTGAGTGGAAATATTGTGAAATGTATAATAATATTTTCGAAAGACGTCAAGGTTACGATACAAATTAATATGTACATGGAAAAACTTGTTGTTAATATAAACTGAGTGACATACACATTTTTTGGTTATCCGTTAGAATCCAAGTAAAGAATTAAAAAAGAAAGAGAATAAGAATCCACTGGAATCATGGTATTGTTCTTCATGAAAATTACCTTAGTCAGATTAATATATGTGTTAGAAACAAGTTCGATAGAGTATACCCATTCAGTGCACAGTTCACAAACCGTTTTTGAATTATTTCTGGGTTAAGAGAATTGTGGAGCAATTGCGGAGAGTGCAAGTGCAGTGTTAAAGTTCATAGTATTAGTTGAAGTGTGTTAATGTGAAGTAAATTTCTTTTGACACTGTTTAATTGGCTTAATATATTCAATAACTACAAGGCCTACTTTCTTTATTCATGTTATTGCGTAAGAAGTAGAGAAATGAATATTTGCTGATACTTAGTTCAAGCATTAATTCATATCATCACTGGATAGTACAGAGAGTAATCCTTTTGCCAAAATTTCAATAATGTTTTGTAAATCCACTTCCTGATCAGTTTTACTTGCAATACATGAATTTTGAAACAATTGCTAATATTTACAATAGTAGTATTTGATTAAATTCATAATGTTTTCTTTAAGATTAAACATACAGAGTTTAATTTTTTCATACTATCATCTGTCTTTTGTAGATTTAATATTAATTATACTTCCTAATATCAAAAATCACTGTAGCGTGTTAAGCGGTTAAAGTGGTAATAATTATGAACATTGCATTCTATTGTTTCAGTCTTACATCTACCGACAAAGCAAAGTCACCAAATCCATTTAGGACGACAAGTAAAAGTGTTGGCTCCGATTGCAGTTATTTATTTCAAAGAAGATCGATGCCTGGTAGGCCAATGTTAACTACGGTCAGTCCTAGAGGCATAAAAAGCACAACGAACTTCAAACCATCAAGAAATGAAAGAGTACTCGACAAAAATAAGAAATCTTCGATAATCAAAGAGGCTGTTTTAAAATTAAATGATACCGGCACTAATTGTCTTAGCGATAATCTAGCAAATACACTCTTTAAGGAAACATGTAAACTTAGTATTTCGTGGAAAAATCGTGAGATTTTTGGCCACGGTTCGGTCACAAAGGACTTTAAAGCGCTAACCATTAATCAGGATACTAGACAAGCTAAAGACGACACCAGCATTCAAGATAATTTTCAAGCTAGTAGTTTCCAACGAGCGCGTAGCAATACGATGCCAAGTTTAAAAAGGGGGCCCGGTCCGGGTGGAGGTAACGGCAATCAATCGGAGACCAGCAGTTCTACTGGTCAGCCTTCGAGTTCAAACACATGTTCGGTACAAGCAAGAATATCCCCACCTTCGTGCGATGTCACCATCGACGAACTTGCCAGCTATTTCGAAGAGTTTGTTCATATTCCAAAGAAGATGTCACACATGGCAGAAATGATGTATATTTAATTGTAATGTATTAAATTATAACTGGCAGATTTCTTATACAGTTTTTCAAAGACTAGCATGCAGTATTCGTGCATGATTGTGAGTCTAAATATTATATGTTTGCTACAAAACCAATTTAACGTGGTACCTAAATTATACATAATATACAATAAAAATAAAAAAGCGGAAAAAACGACAAAAAGGAAGAATCTGCATTATTGTAGAAAGAAAGTATTAAAAGTGATACAATTTCAATATCGTTCTAGAAAAAGTGATTTAAAAAAATGATTTAAAAAAAAAATACAAAAAATTAATAAAATGATGTGCGGATTTATTTATTTTCTAAAACCGTTTTGTGTCCAGCTATTTCATTTAGTTTCTAATGGAAAAGAGAGAATTTAATATCTTTATTTACAAATTTTTGTATTACGAGATGAATGATTGGTACTAGAATAAATTTCATGGAATTAACATGTTGTCTCACTTAAATCTCCGTTCTTCTACTACACGTTTATATTAAGGAAAATAATATGTGTGTGGATAAAATACATATGTATATATATCATTCGACGAGGTCATTAACACCGTTCTATTAATATGATACATAATATATTTATCTGCATAGGCTTATCATACTTAATACAATGATACAAAGTAACCGTTTAAATTACTTAATGATAATAAGCTTTGGTACGTAAACAATGACGATATATTGATCCGTTTTAACTTTAGGTACGAGTGAACCATGTTGACGCGCTGTGTACTGTGAAAACCTCGACGAAAGCCTAAATGCATTAAAAAATATCCATCTATTTGGTGTGCGCATCACGTGACGACTGTTTTCATTTTTAACATCTACGAACGGTTAATCAGCAATTTTCTTGTACGATGATTTCGTGGTAGCCCCGCGCAACGCTCAAACTCTGTATCAAAACATGAGGTCTGTCGCTATATCACAGATTTAGTAAAATTTCATTTGAACGGAGCTACAACGAAACGAATTTCAAGCGAGAGAAATCAGACTATCCATCGAAAGAATACAACTCACAATTGGACAAGTTTCTTTTATCACGAAACCGACACGCGAACGAAAAACTTTGTCGTTTATTATCGTCCTATTCGAAACTTGGTCTCCAAGCCGAGAGACGCAGTGTTTAGACAACGACAACAAAAAAAAAAGGTCGTTATTTTATCGAAGCGAATCGATTCACGATCCGAAAGACGAATAGGAAAAACCACTGCTGCGTCCTGTGTTTAAGTAACGAAAGTGTGCATGCTACGATGGTAAACGTTACAGTTCGAAGTTCAACGATATCGGTAATGATCGCGAGATACATTTCTGTTCACAGTGTTTCCAATGGTATCAACGTTTCCATAACTGATGATCCCGATGAAAGTGGTAAAAATAACTACTTGATAATGGTAGTAAAAATAGAGTTAAAGTTATCATAAAGTAACTACTCGGTCGATAATTATGACGACAAACATTTACATTCTACGAAAGTTTAGCTCGAATCATTTTTTTAAATTCTACGTTCTTAATATTCTATATTTGTCCGTCGCAACGAATGGTCGAGTAGTATTTTAAAAAAGTTGATAGCCTTACATTGTTGCGTAAACCAGCCAGAGCATATGTTAAGTATTCCTTTGCTTTGGATTACCGGACGCATAACGATGAATAGCATTGTTGCATTCCTTAACGGCTTCTTTCGTAATCGGAACACGTAGCGTCTCCCGACTAGAATTCGTTTTCGAATGCATCGGGGAGGAAAATACGTCCATGGGAAATTTCAATTTCTATTACATCAAACATGACGCGGGGGGGGGGGGGAGAGATCGTGCCTGTTTATAGTTGACATTTAAATATCGATGAACGGATAATAATAGCCGAGCAGGCACCTGGAAAATCACAACAGTTCTAAACTACTGTCAAAAGTTTCGTCGTCTTGTACTAAAATAAGGTCGTAAGGAGATTTTAGACTTAAAAAAGTTACGTTCGGGTACAAAAATTTTGTCAAAAGTATCGTCGTTAGATTGCATTTGAATGCAGTTGTTTTTTTGTTCCTTGTCTAAACAATATCAGTCTCTAGGTCCGGTGGAAAGGCCACATGATGCCCTTACCAGTAATAACATTTAAATATACCACTCTCGTTTGTGTTGCTCGGATGAAATAATGTAATTAAGGACATTCAAGATGAAGAAATCAAACGTACTTTCTGCCCATTAGATAGAGCTGCCAACTGCTCTTTCTATGAAGGGCAATAGTTTTCTAGTTATTCTATTCTTTCTGAGGTTCTAAAAAGACACTAGAAGTCATTCTTCAATCAGTGTTTTTTTTTTTTATTTCTTAGTAATAGTAAAAGTGTAGAGCAACAGGTAAGCACAAGCTCTTATGAATAAATTATAATATTGGACCATCATGTTTTATAACTTATATATGAATGTTATTAATTTATTCACAACAGATCACATCTACCAGTTTTCATTTTTACTATTTCTATGAAATTAGAAGGATCAAATAAATAGTTAATAAAGGTGAACATTTATTATATCTCTTTTCCTAAATAAGTGATGAAGTTGGCAACCCTAGTTAGGACACCACCGTTCGTTCGAATCGAAATTCGTCCGCGATTTCTTAGGGTTCTACGAACTATGGCGACAACATGATCGTCAGCGAAACCTTAAAATGACCATTCTCCGTGAGAAACACAACAACATTTTGATCGGTATAAAACGCTCATAGAAAAGTTTACTGGACGAAATACAGCTACTTTCTAACCTCTACGTAAACATGATGCTTTTCCACGTGCATTCACCGCATCGTACTATATAGAATAAATTAATCAACTCACACAACGAAGGTATGGCGTTCGTCTCGCTAATCATAGTAAAAAACATTATATAATAAGTTTACTATGTAAAGTTGCAATATAATGTCGAGTTCGCGACGAGTTCTGGTGAACGTAAGCTGCAAAGTATTCCGTTGATTCGATATCGATCGTTTCGATCAGAGTGACCTAATCGAGTAGACGCAACAAATATTGGCTACTCAAGGATCGTATTCGTTAAATTTTCCAAAATGTTAGATAAAGTATAATAATCAATTGTAATAGTGAGCACGGTATAAGTTGGGCCAGTGACCTTGAGTGGCCAGAATATGTTGTCTCCACCCATGTCTTCCGAATCATTTTCAGATTTAAGTGCACTACCGATTTTTATACGTGATCTCGTGAGAAAGATGGATTCTTCTATTGAGCAATGGTTGCGGAGCGACAGCACGACATTTTATTGCTCATCTCTTAATGTCGAAAAGAATACCGCACAAACACAAGTGTAACAAATTCACTACACTCACGTACGCAATAATCTCACGTTTCACACACTTTCACGCTTTTCCGTTTCCTCTCTCCCTCCCATACATTTAATTTTTTTTTGTTTCTTATTCGTTTAAACGTTAATATCTAGAGTGTCATAATGGCTCATCCTGTTTATCGTGACATAGTTCAATGTACTTCTGAAGACTTACGTCTGGGGACAACCACGACAACAATACGGTCCTCGGAATCGGAACACTTTTCCAAAAAACACTTGCACGACGAAAATTATTAATTAAAACTCTTACGACCGCGTTTCACCATTCCGAGGATGATTTACTTTACACCTACTTTACGGACCTACCGTCTAGACTCTACCCTAACCTATCTTTTGTGTGTTTAGTAGAAAATTTACAATTTCTCAGACACTTTGTACGAGCAACATCGATGACTTAATTTTTTTTTTATCTCATGTAGTATCTCTAGTTCAATTTCTTCTCGCTAAATCCGCGGTAACGTCGAAAAATGGTGTCGTTTCCTGTCGCGACATGCACGTGTACGTGTACGGGGTGTCGACAAATACGCGGGAGATCATTTAAGAATCGATTCTGCATTTGGATATAAGGAAAAAGGTTCACATATTCGTGTACATCCAATTCCTTTCTTGCAGGTTAGGTAATTCTTGATGTACCGATTGAAAACGCCTATACAACTGCAACCCGATTTACTGATGCTTTAGGGTGGTTATCTACTTATAGGCATTTCCGTCAGTCGTTTCAGAAAGTAAAAAGAGCAACCAAACGATAAAATATTTTCAGATATATGCGTACCAAAAGTGTGTCCATCCTTTTGTTAACACCCTGTGCAACATACGACTGTTTCGTATTTTGTAACTTCGTGTTTTAATTTCATCGAATTTAAAAACGGAAATTCAGAGAAACTCGACAACGAAATCGATCGATATGGAGGCATATTACCGACGGTCGTGAAGAGAACAATAGTTTCCACAGTTTTCCGTCAGAGGGTACAATCACAGTAAAAACAATAATATGTATATTACAGAACGATCGTGTGCTTTCGAATTGTGTATTTGGAACACCACTGTTCACAAAACAAAAGTACATCGAAAGAAGTCGCTTTTTTTTTTACTACGTATAAAACGTATTTAATCTCTCGTATAAAATATTGTTCTACGCGAACCGTCGTTTTGAAGTGAAACGAGACATCGTTCGCACCTAGTTTACATATCGTAGAACGTGATTGTGTCCTATCGCAGATATTTGTGCACTCGATAAACAACGTTCGCGCATCGATGCACAAACAGTATCCTCCGAATTTAAATCCAAAGAAGAGTTTTGGATCGTAGGAAAAAATCAGTCGCGATCGATTCGAGATCAATGAGAAGTAATCGCGCGGATTACATAGATGGCGCGTCGGTTACCTTCTTCGCGCCGCGATCGTACATTGACGGACTTATATGTATAAATCGGTTACATCTTCTACCATTCGAAACACTACAGTTCTCGGCTCGTTCCGTTCTACTCTCTAAACACTTTTTTGTAAGATTATCGATACCAACCTCGTCAATTATTCGTTATACTCTCCAAATTGTGAAAATGCTTACATTAAACGGGTCGAACAACGAATGATTTCGTTCGAACCTTAATAGATACTGGATACGTAACGGATAGAGATTCTATAATCTTATTATCAGTCGGTCTGACTCAGTATTAGTCGGCAGTTATTCACGATTGGTCACAAAGTTTCGACAGCCTCGTATACATCCTTATACGAGCACGAACAAGACTTAATATTTCTTTTTTTTCCCCTTTTCTTTCTTTATAATGTTCCATGGCACACAAGATCATTGTTCTTGGGATGCTTGCGCCGTACGATGACACCCTGATTGAAGAAAAATTTACGAACGAAAAGAACACTTGTCGGTATACTTGCGAAATCGTCGTAGAAATTTTGGCAGCGTTTAACAACGATTGCTTCGAGAAATCTGGTAACGCTTTTTCAGAATTCTTGCCACCACCGAATCGCTCGCAAAACGTTTTCCTCCGTTTTCGTTCCTGATCTGGTATCCTCCCGTCTCTTTTCCTTGTTGGAGTTCGCTCTTGGCGTTTTGAAACTTGTTTCAGGGACTCTGAAGAGCGACAAGAATGGCGACGACGTCTCCGTGATCGGAGAGCCTTAACAATAAATACCATAAAACTCCATGGCACAGTTGATGTGCGCTGGGTGAAAATGACCGTGTGGCACCAGGTGATTCTGCACATGAGCTATATATCAGTCCGTTGGCGGCTCCAGATACGGTATTTCGCTCGTCACATTGAACGACTCAAAATAGTGGTTCAGGAACTCGAACGTGGGCCGTTTCTCGGGACTGGCGTCCCAGCATTGCAACATCAATCGGTAAATGCTGTCCGGCAGCGGGTGATTCAATGGTTTCGGCATCCGGTAGCCTTGGTTTATCTGCTCTATTGCTTCGCGTCCCTGCATACCTGCGCAGACAAAAGGGATTCAATGTAAGAACATACGTAAAAAGAGAAAGTGGCATCAATGCATTGTCAATGGAAAGAAAGCCCTATTGTTTAGCTTAACAGGTGAGCGAGGAATACTCTCCTGCAAGGCAAGTAGACCATTGTTAATGAGAGTTACTATGGTCTAAATACATTAACAAAATAACTGTAGTATATGACATTGAGCAAATGGCAGAAGGCAACCTAGCATAGAATTTGTTCCGCGTCGTGATAATCTTTGACCTCACCTCGCTCGAAGTTAATCTCACCCATTTAGTTCATATTATCAACGTAAAGGGGAGATCCCCCCGTTTTACCGTAAGGCAGGAAGACTCCCCTGATTGGGTCGACAATGAATTAAGAAGCCAGGGAATAATTCAACGATTGCCTATCGATGACGCTCACCAGGATAAGGAACTTGGCCATAAGTGAAGAGCTCCATCAACAGTATCCCGTAAGACCAAACGTCGCTCTTGATGCTGAATCTGCCATAGACGATGGCCTCTGGGGCTGTCCACCTGACGGGGAATCTGCTCCCCTGTTTCGGACAGTACTCGTCGTCTTCGATCGCCCTGGCGAGACCAAAATCGCAGATCTTCGCCTTGTTCTTCTCCCCGATGAGGACGTTCCTCGCGGCCAAGTCTCTGTGTATCAGTTGCTTGCTCTCGAGATGCTCCATACCGGAAGCTACCTGGCCAGCGATGTAGATTAGGTCTTCGAACTGCATGTACTTTCCGTCACCTGTCCTGAGGAAGTCCAGCAAGCTACCATTACACATGTACTCTTGCACGATGTATATGGGCTCCTCCTTGGAACAGATGGCGTACAACGCCACTAGGTGTCTGTGTCGGAACTGTTTCATGATCGCTGCCTCCTGGAGGAACGCTTCCGTCGACATGGTCCCTGGTCGAAGCGTCTTCACCGCCACCTCGATCTTGTTCCGCCATTTTCCATAGTACACCTCGCCGAAGTTACCGTGGCCCAGCTTCCGTATCAGCTGTATCTCGTTCCTATTGATCTCCCATTTGTCGCGCAGCTCTGGACCGAGATCCCACATGTCCGGTTGCGGTTTCGGGCACGGTTTCGAGAGCACGTGACAGAGACCCAGCGCGTTCTCTGGAAAATTACATCGGACCGTTTAGAAATCTGGGTCGCGCGTGATGACAAACTTGGACATCTTTCGGAGGGAATGAATTCGTCTGAAATTTCGAATAATCAACTTACTACTGTACGCCATAACAAGCGCAGGCAAAGTGGGAAATGTCTGGTTGGTGGCGATGAAGAAACCTCCATTGTCCAGCGGTTTAATTTTATAATGTTTAACGTGATGGCCCCTTCCTTCCTCCCAGTCCTTGACGGACAAGCTGTAGCCTCTGGGATTGTGCTCGCTGGGTCTCACCAGGAACGTTCCACGCGGGTTCTCGTCCACCAGGAGGAGCTTTCCAGCCTCTTTGCGCGAGACGTTCTCGAAGAACCAACTACGTAAAAGGGGAACCAACGATTTAGTTTACCGTGAAGTGGATACTTTCAATAAATTAATTCGAATTGAAAGCTCACTCTTCGCTCTCGACGGAACGCTCGACGGCGACGAAGTTCCAAGGAATGAGACCCTCTTGCAGGGTTGTCAAGTGCAAAACTTTCCACCAGTCGGGCTCGGTGTCGTCTAATACCTCCATTCGGTCGCCCTTCACGAAGCTGACGTCGGTGCTCTCGCGAGCGGTATAGTTGTACAGCGCCACCACGATTTTATTCGACCTCTGCGAATGCGCTGTTTCACGGGAAAAATACCATTAACTATGTCTAACAGAATGTTGAAGACTCATATGTAGATTCACTGTCCAGTGCCGCGGATGTTGGTCACAGTTCGTATTACAGGACAGGTTGTCGAGGAGCCGGACAGTGAACGTGTTAGGGTAGTCTGGTCTAGAGTACTTGGCGAATTAATTTTTGGAAATTTTTTCAAATTCGTTGGTTGGACTTGGGAAGAAGAAAATAAATCGTTTAAAAGTTCTAGGCCAGACTGTTAGTTGTGATCGAACTGTTTGCGGTCGCAGGGAAATTTGATGGGAGGCAGCCAGCTGTGATGGACCTGTGGCGGCGATGAAATATCGAAACCATTGGGTATAGTTTGCTCCATAGTAATTGTTCCGAGGTAAACTCTATGTTTTTAAATTCTTTATCACATACAAAGTTCCAGTAAAATATATTATCTTGTTCCTGGGATTGCATTATACATGGTTACACTGCGACCGCCAATAAAACTAATACTTACCATCGAACTTAAATTAAACTGAACGTAAGAAGACGTAGCGGGCCAAAGCTTACAAGCTAACGTTTTAAATCGAAACTTAACGTAAAACGCCTATAGCTACTAAATGAAATAAAATAACATAAAATACACACATGCAGGCATAACGACAGGCGAGCTTGTTTTACGGGGTTGATGCGGAATCTGTAGCTTACAAGGTGTTGGCCTGGGACGTATGATGTCAGCCCTCGCTTGTACACCCCTCTGATTCGGGTCAGCGGTGTACCGATCCAAGGAACCTCCATTGCTGTGCTTCGAGCTCAGTCCTGTGTCTGCTTTTTTATAACCTGGATAACGGGAGTCGATCATTCGTTAATTAAAAAGGATCAGGAGAACTCTTGCAAAGGTCACCTCTCGGTTCAGGCAATCCTGAAGAGACGTTTACTTTTTTTGTTATCGATGAAAACGTCGCAAGATCGGGTCTTGAAGTCGTCTCGTTAAAATCCACGCTCCTTCTTTTCTTAGTTTTCAAAACAATTGGAAATTATTACCCAGAAAATAGGGGGATGCTTATTTTTTCTCTTTAACTTTCCAATTAATTTCTTGGTTCGTTTTATTTCAGAGTTGGCACATCGAATCGAAAGGATTTAGTCTTATTTAAAGGAGAAGGGTGCCCTGAACAATTGGATTTTATTTTCCAGCGGTCCGAGACTAGATCAAGGCGTTATCTGTGGATTATTACTAATTATAAGCATTCTTTACAATTACAGTTGGAAAAAGATTAATTAAAATAAACCATTTTAATGATATCGAGAGGAATGAATTATATTTGATTTAAAACTAGAATAAAACGACCCTGAATGTTTGGAATAGTTGCGTCCAATTCTCAACATTGAGATTGTTGCCTTTTTTTCCTTCACCTCTGATTCGGTGCAATAATACATTGCGACAGATAGCGTAATGTATCTAAAACTGAGACTGAATGGCTGCAATCAATATTACGCTCAATTTCTACTATAAATTACGAATTGACCAAAATCGTATAACGTTTCTGTTGGACCTATTACCACCGATTCAAGCTATTACACGTTTAACTCATTTCTCCTCTGCCAAATGCCAATGAAGCCAGCATTAAATCTGGGTCAATGCATTTTATATACGCCCAGTGATAAATCTATCGGTTGAAACAACTCTATTTCAAGAAAAATCTGACGCGATGCTATTTTTCAACATTTGCCAATGAAAATTTTACAGGATATACTACGAAACCTACACAATAGCTCGTTCAAATTTCAGCTTTCTATCTCGCATAGTCGTTGAATAAAAAATTCCCAAAGTTGACCCAATGTGGGGGTTTGTTGGGGTAGTTACTCGCGTTAGTAACGTAGCAATGGCGGATCCCTCGGTCTTCTTCGTTACACTGGAGACCTCGACAGCCACCCAACACTTCCCGAAGTATACTTAAAAAACGTTCCCGAAAGTTTGAAAAGAAAACTTATCGCGGAACAGCCGCGAGCGGACGAAGAGGACGGGAACAAGTTCGAGTTACTTACCAAGGGGTTGCGGCTCCTGCCGCTTGCTGCAGCACTTGCCCATCTTGGTTCCCCCGGTAGCTCGATGTTCGTCAAACGGATCCTGACTCTATACGCCGTCTACAGCGATGCAGACCCCGAGGAAAGTCTCCATCCCGCGAACATCTCGAGGTCGAACGGCCGCAGGCTTCCGTTTCAATTTTTTGGATCACTTTCTTCTCTCCATCGCGTGTTTATCGATGCCGTGCACCTGCAAGGTGAACCAGAAGCATTCATCATGATTCGTGCTTTTGCACTTGTTCGATTCGACCAGTTGTCTGGTTGCGGAGCCGTCTTGTTTCCCAAAAGGATTTTCTCTCGCAAATAAATAAAAGAAAGTATATCTTTTGTTTGGATCCCTAAATTAGAGTGACCTCTTTATACCCATGTTTTCACGATTGTCACGCACTTAGAGTACTTACACGTGTCGATTCCACCCGTACCGGAAACACGAAGCACTCTGGATGGCCGATAAACAAATTACGGTCGCGTCGAAGCGACGAGAAATGAAATCATCGCTTAAAAGGAATGCCAGAGGATAATGACGTAACCCAGCGAGCTGAAATTTCAATTCGACCATTTTAGGCCGGTCGAAGGTGCCACTATTCTCGCGTCCTTCGAAAATATTGCTGAAACGACCTCTGACCAGACTACTCTTGAAGTTATACGAGATTTTTAGCATTTTTATTTGACCAGACTTGAATTAATCGATGACTTCGGATATTTATATAATCTGTTTATAATTTTATGAAACTACGCGTGTGCTCGTGAAAGGTTAGCTGGGGTATGCGTTCGCGGAGAATGTCAATTGATCGTGAACCCTGTAACAGGAAGTCGGTGCTTTCTGTAAAACGCTCTAATAAGACGATTCGTTGAATTTATTTTTTATATCGCGACATTACGGATTAACCTTTACCGCGGTTAATTATAAATATTTTCTTGTTGGGTGATAAATAGTTGCATCGAGACTCAGCGATCTAGAAGAACTCGGAGCTAATATTATGAAGATTGTCAGATTCAATAACAACTGACAACGCGGTTAGTAACTGAAGAAGAAGCAACACGAGTTATGAAAAGTCCGAAAGTTCGCGCAATCGATCGTGACACACGGAATTTCACCCGGCAACTGCGACAAAAATATTATACGAAGCTTCCGAACCAAAAGCCAGAACAATTTTCATTTATTCACTGTGAAATATTTCGTCACTGTTAACCTTATTCAATATTTGATTCTACGATTCAAATTTTATTTCGGGCTGAAACATTTGTTTATTTCCTGTGAGTGATCTCGATCTGGTTAAGAATCTTCCCGCACCTCTGAAGCTACCGAAGTTCTAAAACTACGTAAATGAATTTAGCACGAGCTATTCGCGAACAGGGAGCACTTACTATCGTCGAGGCACTTAATCACCAAGCGCGATGGAGCGCGCAATTTCTCGCGTTGTAATTCAGGATGCGGTTATCTTCGATGTTTCTCGTTAATAAGAGAGACCGTAGGAATCGCTTTCCGCCCCAGATCACCTGGAAAAAGTTTCGAGTTACGCGCATCTTCGCGACCGAATTTATGCGTTTCCGTGGCGATGGTGCCTCGAACCATTTCATTATTACGAGAAACTCCAATTGGGACCAACTGCGAGTTGATGCAGCGATCCCATTCGTTACATTATCCGGCACGCCATATTTCAAATTAAAAAAAGAAAGAACTCAGAGATAAATTACTCCTTTTCATTGGTACCAATTGGGTGTGAATTTGGGCAATTAAATTTTTTAAGTTGATGGCCTCCTTCAGGAACGATGATTATTTGAAATATTAATTTAATTAAGTGCATTATATATTTGTAACATTGACTTGCGTTTTGTTACGTCATAAACTCAGCTGTACATCATGTTCTTTTAACTCAATATTATTAATGTAATATGTAAATTCCATAACAATCCACCCCTCTACTATGAATCATAATAAAAATAAATTATATCAAAGTAATTATCCTCTACAGTTTAAAACAACCATACTCTTAACCCTCCCTCTCCTGGATCGTCCTATCTGCATTTTAATAAAAGGAAACGTTCGATCGAAAAACAAAAACAAAAATTTATGGCAAACTAATTAAAACGTTCGAAAAATACGGAAAAGCTCGTCGAGGGTCATCGACAGGTGCGTTTCACCAGTCGTGTTTTATTTTTTTGGTATCAATGACAGTCGCAGATATAAGTGGTTGAAAGCTACAAATGGTTTACTTGAACACGCCAGCGAATGCGTTAATGATCCCCCTGGTAATGAGAAAATAGGGGATAACGAGACATCCTTAACCCGTTAACCGTGGTAAGATCAGTTAAACCGTCGCTCGAAAATTCCTCGCAAAAATACCCCGGCGATAAGCACGACGAGCTAACTCGTCGCGAAAGTTTAATTAATTGCACTCTTACGGACGGAGTAAGCATATCGTGCGTCTCTTATTCCCATTACCAGAGCACAGCGTGATTATTTCAAGATTTCCGTCTGAGATTAAGTAATCGATTCAAATTAGAATTAATATTAAGTTCATTTCGATACTATTTTGTACATTATTTATACTAAAGCAAGGTTTTCGAAATGGAGATTGACATTAATTTAAATCTCTACAGGAAGGTACGGAGTTTTAGTTATTAATCGTATGGATCGATTGTGATTGCTCTCGAGTAAATACAATTATAATTATTGGTGGAAGCTAGCTCGGAAACTCGGTTCCCGTTACTGTTCGTGCGTAGCCACTCCTGCAGCTAACTTATTATAATAATTGTCTCGTTATTTTGCTGATTGTATTTGCGTTTGTATGCGCTCTTATCCTTATCGTAAACTTCGAATGCATTAAGGATACTTTAAGCTTGAAATTAACATGAAGTTGGGTGATATTAGAAACATCTGTGTATTTGCTAGTCACCTATGTTTGCCCAATGCAAATTAAATTTTGTTTAGTCCCTGCGATCTTCCATCTTCCATTAAAATACAGATCGTTCTCTAAGTAACACTCTCGCCCATCTCCGCTGTAAATATACGCAATAAAATGAAAGTTCATTCGTGGAACGCGTTGACCATTCGAATCGCTATCGAGGACGCGACGGCGTAGCAAATTTTTCACGACTTCCGAGAGTCGTCCGCACGTCGTCTACCGTGGACACTCTGCGGACAAAGGAGTCACCGGTAAAGAGGTCCCTGGAACTACTGAGAAAACTTCGCGTGGGATGGGAGACGTTTCCGTAAATCAGGAGATGTCAGCATCCGTGGGAAAAGTTTTTAATTAAACAGCCCGAGGGGTTGTGTCTCGAACATCCGAACGGAATAACAACGTGGACAGGACCGAGGCGGTTCGATTTGGATGTAATCCGCCCCATGAAATCATGGGAGGGATACCACCATCAAGGTAAAAGCTTCCCTTTCCATCCGCATGTCTCGTTCCTATCTACTTTCCTCCTTCTATATGTTTATATATTTATTTTCTATTTTCATTACTCTTTGCATCTTTTACTTTCGATTTTCTTTTTCGCGTAGAATATTCTAGTTACTTCCTTACATTATTTCACCATCTACACAAGATTTCCAAGGAAGGAAAAGCACCTACTAATAGGTGCTCCATCAAAAAAGACTTCACAGAGCACGATAAGATGAAACGATCCCATTCGGAAGACATAACAGCGTAATAACAAGAAGGACAGAGCAGCAACGCGGTCGATTCGGACGTGGCCCACCCCAAAAGCGACGGAACCCCCCGGAATCGTGGCGCTCGGGACACCACCATCGAAGCTAAAGCTTTCCCTGGCTCTCTAGACCAAGGCGTACGCGCACGTAACGAAAACGCACACGTATACACATGTATACACAGCCACGAGACGGTCGATATCCCACGGTGGTCCGCGTGTATGTATTCTCGCTATCTGATGAGGGTTTTATGTGACGAACAATAGCGACGTTTCATGCCAGGCTGGACAAAGACGAATTAAAATTTCGTCTTGACGCACTTTGCCACCGCTTTAGGAGAACCGCGAGCCAAGCAACAATGCCCGAGGATCAAGGGAGGCCACGGGAGGATGAAAGGAAGTGCGTGATCTCTCTCGGCGAGAGGGAAACTGCGTCGCGACTGTCCCCGGTTTTCCCGCTGAAAGAATGTTCCGAACAATACCCTGCAACCCAAACGACCCGCTTACCGGTTGACAGAACCATCGAAAACCTTTCGTTCGCGGCTGGCTGGGTTATGGTGTCACTGGGAGTCATGACGCGGCCGTGGCTTTTCATCGACGACTACATTCTGCGTTTGTACTTTTGCTCTGCGGGGCAATATAGGTGGCCATCGAGTCCTTTCGAGCACCTGTAGCAGGATGGAGTCGAGTACCTTAGCTTGATCTATAGCACGATGAGGTCGCGAGTACCTTGGTTCGATTTTTTCGGCGTGTACTGAACCGTATATGGGTTAGGACACAGTTGTTACCGAGAAGTCTCTGATCTACGTATGAGTCATTTCGAGAGGCTCGTGGGTATGGCTTCCAGTAGCACGAGAGCGAGCTCGTTTCTGCTTTGTGAGACTGTGGACGTGGTGAGCATTGGTAAGAAGAGTTGAGAACGTGGCCTTTGCGGCGAGACCTAAGCAGACCAAAAAATTAAACTTTGCACACCATGTCTTCCGTAGCTACACTCATCTCCTAACCCAAGGGTGCTAACCCCTCGACTCAGGATTGAAAACGAAGACCCTGATAAGAGAAACCTCGGCTCCCCAGGAAGTAAGCGATCGTTTATCAGTACAAAATATATATATATAGGGATAATCCACGGGGTTTCGTCGAGCCACGCCGACGAGAGTTTTCGCTGGCGAGTCCAAGCAACCCCTACAGATTTGTCGAGCTTACCCCTCGAATATCGTCTTCCCGAATGGATATGTAAGCTCGTGATTTCGGGGACTACGCCCTTACCTCCCTTTCGCACTCGATTCCTGGCGACTCTGTACCGAGCAGGCGTTTTGAACCGAGGGTGGCACGATCGGGCATTATTGCATCGCAGGGGGCGCTCTCGCGATCTACGTGTACACAGTGAATTTCCCTCTGTCCGATACACAAATGAATTCCCCGCGTCTAGTTCGCGCACGAAACGCGATTACGCGATGATGAATCGTACCGAGCAAATAATGTACTCGCGTGCCCATTAGAATGTCGGTCGCCAATGGAAACCCGGTTACGGTGGCG